GGCATTTAAGATGCCATTCATGGTAAGGTATAAGGAGCCACCCCACTTTACATCTTAAGAAGACAGAACTCTTGGAATATCTCTTCCAACAGGCATCTTTCTTAAGAGAAGATGGTTGCAGGCGTTCTAGACAGGATATGAGGGGCCAACCCCTACCATTCAATGTTTTAAGTGTTCCCAAGCAGCCACCACCCCACCGTCCGATCCCAGGCTGTAGCCATATTATTATGGTCAGTCCTCTTGATGAGAATCACCTCCAGTCCTTTGTAGTTTAAATGAAGGAAGTGAGAGTCATAAACCCCCTTGCTCCCTCCTCCCCTTTCGTAGGATGACAGAATCCACAAAGAGTAAGAAATGGATCTTTTTTCAGAGTCGGTAGCTAAAATTGAAATATAACTGGATTCTGACATAAGGTCTACATTGGGGTTAGGGCAGGATGCACATCCTGGGAAGCTATAGAAGAAAGGGTGGCAGAACCTGGGAGGGTGGAGTCAAAAGAGGAATCAGCCTCAAATCCCTACATAGCCACAAGAGAACCAGGTCCAACCTCCCTTGAGTGCATAGACCTTTATCTAACTCTAAGTAGGTGCCGACCAATAGTGTAGAATTCTTGTGCAGAGGCCTGAGTGGTAATAAATCAGTTAATTGAACTTTCACCCATGGACCTGGTCTTTCACATCTGACAGAAGCCCCCTCCCACAGCTCGTGCTCCTGTAAAATCACCCAGACTTTATAAAGCATCTCCTGAAGAGTCACTTGAGGAGTGCCAGCAGCTCCACCCTTTGTGCCAGCCAGTCCTCTTCTCACTCTGAGGTTGGCAACTACAAGCACAATAAGCAGAGGCTGCTGGGAATTCTGCCTGCTGACCCCCAATACAGCATCATCGGTGGTATTCTCAAAGTTAATCGCATCACTTCCAGGTACGGCTATAATTCATGTTCCAGCTCAGCATTTTGAATTTGGGACTCCACCTGCCTTCCCTGGAAGAGCTTAGACTGAAAGTGGACAAACACGGCCTCTAATCGTTGCTGCACTTCATTCACAGGACCCCGTTTCCCAGGTATCTCTTTCAACAGCCTCAAGGCAGTGACTGTAGAAGCTCTTCTGACACCCACCCACGCAGACACCCACACCCACAAACATTTTTATCTAAGAAAGGCAAGCTTAACTTGACCAAGATCTTGGACTGCACGTTCTCCCGCAGCCACCTTAGGAAACATTTTGGCCAGCTGCTTTTCATGGAAGCTGCGCGCACTTGACTATTGCTGTACAATGCTCCTGAGGCCAAAGCAGCTAAGGGGCCTTGGATAATGGCAACTATCCTGCCAACATCGCCTCTCCTGAGTATGAGGTCACGTCCACGCCTGCTCATAGCCTTTCATCTCCCACATCTGGATTTCTGGCACACAGCAGGAGCACAAAGAAGAAAACCAGCCTTGTTTCTCCTCGTTCCACTTCTTTCTCAAGCTGGCCTGAATGCTGCAAAGGCAGTTTATGCGAATGCCACTAAATCTACTTCCGATGCCCGTGGTCTGCCTGGGATCAAGCACTACTGCACCGCTCTCTTCACGGCAGCGAATGCTGGAGCTCTGCTTGCGTGGGGCCCTCCAAACGCATCCCCTGCAGGAGAACCACCAGCCCGAGGGGCTCCCTGGGGGGATCACTGCAGCAGCCCCTGGGACCTCAGGCTGGAATGTCCCAAAGGGGCTTTGTTTTTTGTCTCTCTGAAGACGTTTCGCTTCTCATCCAAGAAACTTCTGTAGCTCTGACTGGATGGAGGAGAATGGAATCCAGTCAGAACTGAGGAAGCTTCTTGGATGAGAAGCGAAACGTCTTCAGAGAGAAAAAAAAGAAGTCCAGTTGCCTCGTGAAAAAGCGCCTTTGGGACAACCATGACCTGGATGACTGAGAATCTCCATAGAGACTCAGGCCAGAATCGCTGCAAAATTCCAGAATTTGGAACCGTGCAGCCGTGGTGTGGGGAGAAAGAGTGCTGCCTGACTGCCTTCCCAAAGCCAAAGGGCCTTCTCCTGCAGCTGCTTCTTCTCTTCCCCCCTGCAGGATCTGGCAGACAAAGAGCCATGATGCAACCTGACTTCACTGATGGAAATATGGAAAGTCATCGCAAAACTATTACATCACACATTTTGCTTGATCGGGGAAAGGTCTGGAGCCAGCTGCTGCACTGAGAGGGGGGCAGGCTTCTTGCAGCAAAGCAGCCCCCCCCCCGGCTCAACCCCCAACGCATCTGGGAGACTTGCTGGACGGCCTTGAGCCAGGCACTCCGGGGCCGGGCGGGGCCGCTCATCCATTCCAAAAGAGCACTCACCCGCTCCAGAATAAACAACTTCTGGCGCTCTGAAATCTCTGGTGTGAGTTGTATAATGCAAAATGGATGATCCTGACGTCCACTCCAGAATGAAATTCCTTCTCCAAGATTTTCCAGATCCAGCCCGAGGCCTCCAAGGAGGCCAAGGGGCAAGAATGTCAGGGCAGGAAAAGCTTCTTCCCACCCATCCCGTCCAGATCATCGCCTGATCTCTTCCCAGGCCATCAGCCCTGGAAGCTGGGATCCTTGCCCAGCTCTGATCCAGGATGGAATCTATCACTGTCTCTCATTTGCTGCCTGGGCTGCCGCAGGCGTAGCCAACGCTAACCTCCTGAACTCCGCCTCTCGGAGGGAAGACGGGACAAGGCCTGGCAAATCAAACACTCCCCATGGCTCTCGTTGGAAGGCAGCTGTGGTTCATCTCCAGGGCAAGAGGGAAGATGGCCTGCTGCCCAGCCCAATCCCCAAGAGCTTGGTCTGCCTCCTGCCAGGGCAAAGGCGCATCAAGAGCTGCTGCCTCAGTTGCCTCACCTTCTCGCTTCATCGTAGTCGCTTCACTGACTGACTGATGATATCTGACATGGTCCAGGCCTCTAGGGCACGGGTGTCAAACTCGCCGCGTCACGTGACGTATCGCAACTTTTTTCACGTTGCCGGAGCCGGGGTGGGCGCGCGGCCCCCACATGATGCAACCGGCCCGTGGGCCGGCATTTGACACTCCTGGTCTAGGGTCTCAAGGCTGGACTAGAAGACCTCCAGGGTCCCTTCCAGCTCTATTCTATTCTATTAATACATTCATCCCTCGTCCGGGTGAAATTCCATTAGCCAAATCCACATGACATGCAAGGTAATGAATTCCAAGATCTCAAAAACCCCACAAAAGAGGGCTTCCCAATCTTAAGGCGAGGACTGTTCGTGAACGAGATCCCAAATTTTTAAAAAGGCTCTTGCAGGATGATACCTGAGCTCAGACCTTTGAGCGTGATTAACCCTTCAGAAGTCATGGGGGAAAATCACACAAATCCTCCCTCCTTTTGAAGGGGGCAGTCGCAATACCACCAGGTGCAGAAGAGGTGCCGATGCTCCCACCATAACCCTGTGATCCCCAAAGGGTACCACAGGGGGACACGCCGGGCAGGCTCAGACCGGAGGCCTTGGTACTAGCTGGCATCTCCATATTTCCCTGAACTGCGGCACACCTGAAGCCACCTGGAGGCTCTTAACTGTGAGGAGGCAGAGAATAGCCAAGCCTTTGCAGCCATGGGGGGGTGAGGGGGGGAGGAGATGGTTATGGTGACTGTGTCCCTAGCCTTCCAGAAAGCTGGCAGCTGGCAGTCCTTGGCTTAAAGAACAGCATAAAACCACATAATTGCTTTGAAAGAGGTCCTTTTCTCGGCAAGCATTTCTTTTATCTCCAACTCTAAGTAATTAATGGAATCTGTACACAACCCACTTGGAAGGGAAACTCTGATTCAGATGAAACTGTCTATATTAAAGAAGTATTAACTGCAACAGTTTATGGCAAAGTTCTGGAGACCCTCTGGAGAGTTGGCCATTTACCCTTGCAAAAACTCTCTGGCGTCGGATCTTCAAAGAGAGAGCCAACCAATGGCAAACAACCCGACTGCTCAGCTCTTGGGACAGAGATGCCAGTATGAGGTCAGCTGCCTTTGCTTGCAAAGCTGAGTGTCATTGCCAACCTTTGAGCGAGCCATAACAGGGATTCCACTGGCACAGAGCCCCGTGCATCTCTCCCTGGCACGCTGGGTAAAGTTTTGGTGCCACGGTAGCGGAGATGCACATACAAACTTCCTGCCCAGAAGACCCAGGGGCTGCGGTTCAACTCTTTGCTGCTCAGAAAAAAATTTGAAGGTTCCGGTTTGGGAAACTCCCCCCTCCCCTTGGTATCAGTCCTTCATTTTCCACAAAGTGCGGAGAACTTGGTTTAATTCCCAACTTTTCACCCAGTTATCTCAACCCCAAACTTGTTTCAACGCCAGCTTCAGAATAAACGAGCAAACGTGCTGTATTTCCCCAGTTGACTTCCACGTCCATCCTTTTTTTAAGGTTGGTTCTCTCTGTTTTAAGCCCTTGGGTATTCTACACGTCACGCTTGGCCCGATGTTGCCATGTTAATATAGAAAATACGGCATGAATCTTAAGGACCACTGTTAACAGTGATATAATGTGAGCATTTTCAGATGACTACATGAGCTTGAAAATGTAAATAAATAATAAAAAAAGACCTTGGACCCAAACCCAAGAAGGGAAGGCAATGCCAGGGATCACCCCTCCTGGGGGGGGGGGGGGGCAGATACGAAACGAATATTGGGAGCCGTTTTCTTTGAAGGGCAGCGCGGCCCGATGAAAGCCCGTTTGGGACAGGCGTCTGAGCCGCCTCCGCTCAAGGAGGAGGGCAGCGCCGGTTCCCACCGAGGCGCGGAGGCAGCACCCCGTTTGCAAAGTTCAGGCTGCTCCTCGGGGAAAAGTTTGCACAGATGCTGCCCGCCGCCAAGAAGCCATTCCAAAGTGCGGAGACTGTTGCGGGGGGAACAAAGCGTCTCCGTGGTTAAATAACCTCTGCAGCCCCCCCCCCCTTCTCCGTCGCCTAAGACGCCTGCATCGACGTGCCCGGGCATCCAGCCCGGGCGGGGATGCTGGGCGCTCTTACCTGCGCGGCTGTGGGCGAGGGCGGCGAGCAGGAGCAGCGCCAGGCTCCCGGGCCGGCTCGGCCAGCCCCGCCGTTTCCACCGGGTGTGCGCGTCCATCTCCGCGGCGCGCGGCTGGTCCGGGCGAGGCGCAAAGCGGGACGGCGGCGCTTCTCCCGACCCCGGCGGGCGGCTTTCGGATTAAGAAGCGGACGCCTCCTTCCCCTCCGCCCCCGGCAGGAGTCTCCTAGGCGGCCATCGGCTGCGGCTGGGGCGGCGGCGGCGGCTCTCCCTGCGCAGCCTGCTGGCCCGGCGCGCGGCTGGAGAGGCTCGGGGCTCGGCTTGCGCGGGGAGGTCCGGCTGCCCCCTTCGGCGTTTTTTCCCCGCCTCCTGCCCGGCTCCCTCGCCCGACCTTCTTCCGGGGCGCCGCTCGCCAAAGTGCGCTCGCCCCGCTTCCCTGCCCCGCGAAACTTTCGCGTCCCCTCCTCGCCCGCCCCCCTCTCCCCCGCGACCAGCCGAGGGGGCCGAGCTGCCAATCCGGGGGGGGGGGGCTGGCCAATGGCGGCGAGGGAAGCCCCCGGCCCCGCCTCCGCTCCGAAGGCGGGGGCGGCGGGCGCCACGAAGCTTTGCCTGTGTGGCAGGGGCGGCCGGCGCTCCCCTCCCCTCCCGTCCCCGCCCCGCCGCCAGCCCCGAGCAGGCCTGCGCGCCGCCCCGGACCCGCGCCGGTCCCGCGCGCCCTGCTGCCCGGACGGTCGAGCAGGGCCCCGCCGGGGCTCTTCGCAGGCGGGGTCCCCGCGGCCCTTTCCCCCCCTTTAGTTGCGGGCGCCGAAGCTTCCCGCAGCCAGAAGCTCCGGGTGGCCTAGAATCGTCTGAACTCGGCCCGGTCCTTCAGCAGTTCCTTCCCGGGCATCTCGGCTTTGCTGCCTCGGGAGCCGCCCTGGCTCTTCCTCCCCCCCCCCGGGCATGAATTGCCCCCTCAGCATTTGGGGAGAGATGCCCGCCTGTCCCCTCCCCCCCGCCTCCCGCCCCCCCCCAGTCGGAAAGGCGCCCTTTATTTATTTATTTATTTATGAGACTTATCTACCGCTTTAAGTGCAAGCACTCTCTAAGCGGCGTACACCAGTAAGCAATGTACGTGTGTGTGTGTGTGTGTGTGTGTGTGTGTGTGTGTGTGTGTGTGTGTGTGTGTGTGTGTGTGTGTGTATATATATATATATATATATATATATATATATATATATATATATATTTTTACATTGCCCCCAACAAGCTGGGTCCTCATTTGACCTACCCCCGAAGGATGGACGGCTGAGTCAACCTTGAGCAGGTGAGATTTGAACTGCTGACCTGCTGAACACAGTCAGCTAAAGGGGCCTGCAGTACTGCACTCTCACTGCTGCACCACCTCGGTTCATTTCTGCTCCCCCCCCCAACGGGAGTTCCCCGGCCAGCCTCCCCTTCCAGCCCAGTGAGTGGAAGACAGACGAGCTGGCTGACTGGGAAGAGTCCTCGGCCCCCACCTGGCTCCGCTGACGAGGGGCGGTGGGGCAGAGGATGAGGGGAGAGAGGCGGCAGACCTCCTGCCTCAGGCCCCCAACTGGCCAGCCAGGCCTCCTCTAGGCCGGGAGCCCCGTGCCCAAATCCCCAGGGGAGCAGTTAGTGCACCCAGCATGGGCGACCTGCCACTCCGGCCCCTGGAGAGACCCCCAGAGCCTCCTTGCCAGGCAGAGACTTAAAAAGCTTGGTGGCTGGGAATGCCCTCCCTGGCTTAAAGGGACCCTAGACTCTCACTGACCGCTGACCCTCCTTCCTGGCCAAAACGTGCCTTGAACTGCCCAAGCCTGAAGAGAAATGCACCATTCAAGAAATGCTGCCAGTAGCCACTTTTACAACTATTCGTAGTAGAAACTGTTGCAGAGTTTGCTCTGGCAAAGGAGCCATGCAAACTCTCAGGAGAAAAGGGATAGTAGAGTTTAACTCCTAGTGGCCCATAAGACTCTCCATGTAGTCACCGCAGGGCAACCAGCCACGATGGATGTGTGCAAATGGGAATTTGAGGACACAACCACATTTGATTTCAGAAGAGGAGCCACTTAAAGTCATTGTTGGGCATCATGAACTTTTGGGGAGGTTGGGTGGGGTTCAGCTCAGCAGAGGGAAAGTCCACAGACGCCTTGGAAGGCGCCGCTGGGATCCAGCCCCTCACCAGCCAAGCCTTTGCCCCAGGGGGCAGTGGGCAGATCCGCAAGAAGCAAAGGATGGAATCGCATTGGGTGATCCAGGGAAAGGCCAGGCAAAAAGCAGCAGCAATTCAGGGGAGAGGTTAAGAGCCTTTGAGACAATGGAAATTTTATCATGGGGTAAATGTCAGAGTTGCAGAGAACCTTTAAAAGCCTGGAGTGCCTTGCAAGGACATGGAAGACCTTCACCCAAGAGGAGAATATTGGCATTTACCACAGGTAGAAAGTGAGGATGGAGATGGGCTCTGTAGCCTGAAGGGACCATCTGACTCCCAGTTGCAACGGAGCAGAGTCCGTTGCACAAAAGGAACCCCAAGCAGGACGCTCCAAGGCTTGGCTGCCCTGGCAGAGACTTGGTCCAATTCATTGACCAGATAATCAGGTGCAACTCACTAAACTCCAGATGGAGAACAGAAGTTGTAACATTCAATGCCATCTGTACCACCCAAGAAGTATCTGGCAACCCCTGAAATCTGCCAAGGATTCTGAAGAGCTCCAGAGTTGCGTCTTCCGTTCACTTCCCCTTGAGGCCATGATTCACTCACAACTCAAATTCAAGCTTTGATGTTTCACACACAGCCTTAATGTATTTATACCTTTTTGTGGGTCTTCCAGAGCTCCCTGTTCTCATATTACTTTTTCAACCAGAGAATTTTCTCCCCTTTTTAAATAGCACTGATCCAATGCATCTTTGATGTGCTGGAATCCCGTGATAACAAATCCACACGGACCAATGCAATCAATTGCTTCTGTTTTGTTGATTTATACACCTTAGGAAATGAGCAATAAATAGCCGTTCGTTTGGCTTGGTTGCAAGGTCCACTTGTTTTGCACTGTGCTTACTTCAACTCACTTCCTAGAGCAAAGCTATTAGCACAGGATACAATATTTTGTTTTCAGCTGACAAGGCAAAGTGGAGGGTTGACTAAGGTAAACCACTGTCTCCCACACCTCTGGGAGGACTTGAACCTGGATCTCCCCATATCTTGGCCAGTATCTGGGGTTAGGGAAGAGCCAAGGCTGACATCCCATGGGCACCCAACTTAACAATGTGACAATGTTGGCTGTTAGACCAAGCAGTATGCAACGAAATTAAAAATGCTTGAAACTAAAGCAGACTACTTGTATCAACTCATTTCAAATAATAATTCTACCAAGAATTAGAAAGGTTTAGAAATAGAATTGATAATGAACTTTGCTATGATTTAACTTCAGTTTTAATTTTGTTCAGAAGAGAGGAATAATTAGTTTTTTTTTAAATGGTGCCTATCTTTTCTAAAATGGTCCACTCACGTTAACCACAACTTTCGCTGGCTTACATTTACTGCTCCAAGCAAGACAGTCAGTGGGCAGAGCGGCTGAGACCACTCAGAGGCTGAGGTAGCTTCCTCCCCTGAAGCAGGAGTGCCTGAAGGGGGTTTCAGCTGATTTCCAAAAGGCTAATTGTGGGAGACAGACATGCAGTAGCTACCAGCTGAGTGGGTCTGTTTGGAGAGGGAGCATCTGCACTGCCCCCCCCCTGAAGAGATTGAGAGAGCAGCAGAGGCTGGGCTGGAGACGGAGGGGGAGCACTCTTGGAGGCTGATCATCTCCTACAGGAGTGTGGAAGCCTCCCTGGGAGCAGCGCACTGGCTAAAGACGGCCACATGGTTTCCTTGCTAACTTCTGCCCCCAAAGGAGGAAGAGAAAGCGGATACCCATTTAAATTAAAAAAAAAAAAACCAAACACAAAGATATCCATGGTGAAAAACAGCAAATCTGCAAGCCTTCTTCCCTCTAGTGATGCAAATACTTCGGTCTTCAGTGGCCAAAATCGATAGAAGAAATAAAATGTGATCCTCCCAATCAGCCATTTAAAATGCCCAGGAAATAGATTCATCTACATCAAATGACATAATGAACAAGTAATTTGGGAAATAAAGACATTGGGGGGGGGAGGGATTCAGCCAGAAGGATCGGAGCCTTCCCTGGGCCAAGCCCTCCGTGCTTTGCGAAGGCCGGCTGAATCCCAAATCCTGGGAGAGGCTCTTCCAAAGGGCGGGTGGGCCACAGAGAAGACCCCTCTCTCCACCTGGCTCCCAGCAGAGGGTCCTGCATGGCCCAAATGCAAGCGAGAAAGAGAGAGCATCCGTGAGATGATTGACAGGATTGTCCAAAATATTCCCACTCATTTCTTGCTCTTCCAGTGGAAACGCAACATTTGCTTGGATGTTGTTCACTCAAGTCTGCTTCTGTTGGCTGGACGGCGATTCTGTTCAAAATCTCCAAGGCCAGATGAGCACCAGAAGGGAGCCTGGGCGGAAATGACGGAGGCAGGGCACAATTTTTAATCTAGCCTAGAATGCTTTCCTTCTGTTGTTGCTCTTGTGAACATTGTTTTTGCTTTCATCTCTGCAGGAAGGACTAACAAATATGCCAGACGGAAATTAGGTTTAGAAGTCCAAGTGGTGCAGTAATGCGGTCCTCAGGCATGGAATGTCAATCGAGAAGGATGAAATTCGAAACTAACCAAAACGTAACTAATGATAAAAACATTCAGGATGTTTCTATATTTGGTCTGGATCTTGTTCCAGAAGGGAATGTATACATTTTAGGTAAAACATGGATATGCATGCCCCTAAAACAAGCCAATTCAGTTTCCATGCCGTTTCCTCACATTGAAACCCAAAGTCACCCATCGTGGGAGATTTCTGAGCAGGACTGGTCTCAAGCAAAATGGTAGCTGTAAAGGCAGAGTACCAACTTATTGATATCTGAGTACCAATTTATTGTAATCGTTGATCAGAAAACATGGTGAATGTTTGCAGAGTTTGAGTGTGTACAATTGCTTGATGTGCTAAGTGGCTTTATAAAAACCCTAGTAAGGCCACACCTGGAATACCGCAGCCAATTTTGGTCACCCTATCACAAAAAAAGATGTTGAGAGTTAGGAAGAAATTCAGAGAAAAGCAACTAAGATGATCAAAGGCCTGGAGACTAAAACATACGAAGAACGGCTGCAGGACTTGGGTGTGGCCAGTCTAAAGAAAAGAGGAAATAGGGGAGGCAGGATAGCAGTGATCCAGTATCTGAGGGGCTGCCAAAGGCAGAGGGGGCCAGGTTATTCACCAAAACACCAGAGGGAAGGATGAGAAACACTGGTGGGAAACTGACCAAGGAGAGAAGCAACCTGGACTTAAGGAGAAACTTCCTGACAGTGAGGACAATTAACCAGTGGAACAGCTTGCCTCTAGAAATCG